CCCCACTACCTCCCGAGAGGGGCCGGCCGGGGTTGCCCTCGAGCCAAGTTCAGGCACATTCAGCAAACTAACCAGCAGATGGGCGGAAGGGGCCTAGCACCCCGCGGTCCCGGCTACGCCGCGGGGGCGCGTCCGGGAAGCTCCCTTGGCCACGCCCCGGCCACGCCCCCGGCGGAAAGAGCTTTAAAAGGCGAGCGCTTTCGCCGCGGGCCACAGCCAGACTTCTGCGACCCGACTGTCGGCCTCAGCTCCACGGCCATTCGCGCCACCATGGACCTCTCTGCCATCTATAAGGTGAGTACTGGCTAGACGGCACGCTCTGACGCCCCGGACTTAGGCCGTGGACGCCTGCCGCCCTTCTCAGGCCAGCCCTGACTGGCGGGAGGTGAGAAAGGGCCTTGGCCCGGGTACCGGCGGGCCCTTGGGGACAGAAAGCGGGCGCACCGCTGTCATTCGCGCGGGGCAGAAGCAGCCCCGACACCTGCCCGGTCCCCTTGGCTGCCTCTGGGGCGGTTTGGCGCCCTAGCGGGTACAGGGTTGAAGGGAGTTGACTCGGCCAGAGTTCTAGAGAGATCTGGCCTGGGTCGGCTTTGGCCGGTTCCTCCAAGTTGTGAAACTGCAGCAGCGCCCATGGGCGGTCATATCCGGGGAGGTCTAAAGGCCCAGAATTGGGGAACAGGGGTGTGCTCTGGTTTGGGGGTCCCGTCTCTTGTTCCGTCGGGGATACTGGGTTTCCTAAACGCTCCTGGGTTAGCTCCAGTCGTGTTGAAACACTCAAATCTCCATGATCAGGTTCTCCCTGTAGTTTGAGTGAGCCGGGTGGGGCTCAGGCCGAGAACCCACAAACCGGAATGGCAAGCTTGTGAAGTTCTTTACAACTGGGGCGGGGCGTCGTCACCTTACCCTTTCTGGTGGCCTAACCGAACCCTATCCCCCTCAGAGCCTCCTGTCGATAAACGCTGACCTGTCGTCCGACCACGGAGGAACCGAGTCGGGACTCTGGAACATAAACTCGTCTGACTCCATCCCATCTGGGGTCACTTCTCGCCTGACGGGCCGCTCCACCAGCCTGGTGGAGGGTCGAAGCTGTGGTTGGGTACCGCCACCCCCTGGTTTCGCACCCTTGGCCCCCCGCCCGGGGCCCGAGCTGTCACCCTCGCCTACATCGCCTACCGCAACTCCCACCACCTCCTCTCGGTACAAGACTGAGCTCTGTCGGACCTACTCAGAGAGCGGGCGCTGCCGATACGGGGCTAAGTGCCAGTTTGCCCACGGCCTGGGTGAACTGCGCCAGCCCAATCGCCATCCCAAGTACAAAACGGAACTCTGCCACAAGTTCTACACCCAGGGCCGCTGTCCCTATGGTTCTCGATGCCACTTCATCCACAATCCCAACGAGGACCTGGCCGCTCCAGGCCAGCCCCATTTGCTTCGACAGAGCATCAGCTTCTCAGGCTTGCCCTCGGGCCGCAGAACCTCACCACCACCACCAGGCTTTCCTGGCCCTTCCCTGTCCTCATGTTCCTTTTCGCCCTCCAGCTCCCCACCACCACCTGGGGACCTTCCACTTTCTCCCTCTGCCTTCTCTGCTGCCCCCGGGACCCCTGTGACTCGAAGAGACCCAATTCCAGCCTGTTGCCCCTCCTGCCGAAGGTCTACCACCACCACCATCTGGGGGCCCTTGGGTGGCCTGGCTCGGAGCCCATCTGCACACTCCCTGGGATCCGATCCTGATGATTATGCCAGCAGCGGTAGCAGCCTGGGTGGGTCAGACTCACCGGTCTTTGAGGCCGGAGTGTTTGGGCCTCCCGCGCCCCCTGCACCCCCAAGGCGTCTCCCCATCTTCAATCGCATCTCTGTCTCTGAGTGACAAATGCCCACCCAGTATGGATCAGCTAGATCTCGAGAGGGCGGGGCTTATTGCTGTGGGGACCTAAGGGAACTCTTAAGTTAGTGCCTTCTCCCTGACATTCCAAAATGCATTAACCCACTCCTGGTGCTGTGCTGGGGCAGGTCCCTAGTTGGAAATTCAGTGTTTAGGTGGATTGGTTCCTAGGGTACCTAAGATGTAGCATACTCTTGGGTTGTTTCTGAGATAGGGGCTCATTATGTAGCCCAGGCTGTCCTCAAACTTGAGATAATCCTTCCTTAGTTCCCCAAGTTTTGGGGTTGTATAGGTATGCACCAGCCCCTCCCCACCTCTGGTCTCCTGGAATCTTAAGTGCTGTGAAGAGCTGGCTCCCACAACCCTATCCCAGTTTTTACTAGACCCCGAGGTTCAGCGTTTGGTGGTTGAAGCCTCCCCTGAGGGAGAATCCTGGTGCTCAAATTTCCCTCCGAAAGCAAATCGCCAAAGCCATTGCCAAATCCCTTCTGCCCCAACCAGTGGGCCCTTTATTTATGACGACTTTATTTATTGTAATAAGATTTTATAGTATTTATATATATTGGGTCGTCTACTTTTCCTTTTTGTAATATTAAAGTGGATACTGTATTAAATATACTATAATATATTAAGTAATATATTGTTACCTTACAGGTCTATTTTTGTGGTTGTTTTGGAATTTTTAAATAAAGTCTTGAGTGTGAACTGAGATGAAATTTGGGTTTGTTTTTTTTTTTCTCGGTCCACAGCCACGGGATGGTGGGTAAACTGACCTCCAGACTTGCCAGGGAGCTGGGCTGCCTAGTGGCGCTTACCTGGCAGGAAGTGACGTTACCAGCCCGGTTGTTCACCTGAGGGGGCGTGGTGAGATGAGGTCACCCAGCAGGAACCAGGAGAGCCAGTTCTCCAGGCGCTGGGGGCGCTCCAGTCCTGTCCCTCCGGCTCTTGACCCAGCTCGGGCAGGGACGGGATGTTTCCGTCCCCACGGGGCCAAGGGTAGAGGGCGGGGCGGGGCGGGGAGGACGGAATGTGCCGGAACGCAAACCCGGGCGGCCGGGGGCAAGGGGTCACCTCGAAGCCGGGTCCTAGGGGACTCTGCACCCGGCAAAGAGAGCGGGGATGGACTTCAGACTCTTGACAGAGGACTTACTTTTAGTTTGCTTTTTTTTTTGAAACTGTAGCTCAAGCTGGAGTGGAACTCTCGTCAGCCTCCTGCCTCATCCTCTGAAATGCTGGGGGATCAAGCGCAAGCCACCATGGCCGGCTTCATTTTTTTTTAAACCCGTAGGGTGCTCGCGCGCGAACTAGTGTGGAGGTCAGAAGAAAGCCTGCGGGAATCCGGTCTCTTCCACCGAGCGGGTCCCGGGGATAGAAAAAGATCTTCCGGCTTGGCAGCAAGTGCTGCCTTTGCTTGCTGAGCCCTCTCACCCGCCTCTGTATGGAATTATTTATTTATTTATTTATTTATTTATTTATTTATTTATTTATTTATTTATTTGCCAGGAAAGAAGGGGACACTGGGTCTTCCCTCTGAACCCCGAGCGGCCTGTAACTCTTGGTAATCCTCCTGCCTCAATCTCATGAATGTTTAAGATAACAGCCATGCGCCCTACCGGGTTGGGATTTAAATAGGTGTGAGGATTCCTAGACTCTAGGAATCTCAGGTTCCTGACAACTCGTGGGTCCAAACACTAGAAGAGTCGCGGCCTTCTAGCATCTGCAGACCCTTGGGCCTTGGGCCAGGTCGCGATCGGGCATTTCCGGAGCTGCATCTGCTTGGGCTGGCAGGACGCTTGGGTAGGGCAGCCGCGTCCTCCGACCATACAAGGCAAGAGACCGCGGCGGCGGCCAGCCCCGCCGCGCCCGGAAGCTGCCCGCGTCAGGGCCCGCGCTCCGCCCCTCCTCTTTTTCCTCCGCTTCCTCCCCCCTCTCAGCCTCCACCCCCTCATTCCTCCTCTTTTCTTTCTTCTTCTCCCCAGCTCCTCCCTATCTGCCTCTTGGCCCCTAGGACTTTTTCTTGGATTTGTTTTTGAGACGGCCTCACGCTGTATCCCTCCTTGCCAGGCCCTCTGCTTCTTATTGGTCCTCTCTCCTTTCCTTTGCCCTTCCTCCCCTAAATGTACCTTAACCTCGCTCTTCTCCTCTCCCCAGCCCTGCCTGCCTTTCACTCCGTTCTACTGACCTTTGGTCTCCTCTTCCAGGGAACTGCCTCCCTTGTGGGAAGTCTCAGGCCCTGGTATGTGGAACAAGGTTGGGAGAGGGAAACAAACCCAGGGCTCTGCATCGGGAAGGTAGAGGGAATGAGAGCAAGCAGTGCCGGGCATTTGAGAGAGATGGAAGGGAAAACCACACAGCTACCACCCTTGGCGATGGTTCCCCCCAACCCCCAATTCTCTTGTTCTTTCCAAACACACACACACACACACACATCATGGGCTGAGGATGTAGCTAAGTGCAGAGTGCCTGCTTAGTGTCTGCAAAGCCCTGGTCTAAGAATATGACACTAAACCCCGAGAGATAGCTCAGAGATGAAGAGAATTTGCTTCTCCTGTAAAGGACTCACATCGCAGCCCACAGCTCCGGCTCCAGAGGATCCCGCGCCCTCTCCTGGCCTCCTTGGGCACTGGGCATGCTTGCGGTGCACTTACTTATGTGCAAGGGAAAGCACTCAGACGCAGAAAATAAAACCTTTTTTTTTTTTTTTTGAGACAGGGTTTCTCTGTAGCCCTGGCTATCCTGGAACTCTGTAGACCAGGCTCCAGGCTGGCCTCGAACTCAAAGATCCGCCTGCCTCTGCCTCATGAGTGCTGGGATTAAACGCACGGGCTCCCACCGCCTGGCAAAAACGAGTATTTTTAAAAAAGAATATGACACAAGCCCATTTATTAGATACTCAGACCTGTCTTGGACACACCCCCAAATCTGTAACTCACTCCAGCTCCCAGAGCCCCTCATCGGAGTTACCTTGCTCCTACGCAGATCTAGAAGTACCTGCTTGCTGGCACTCTCTCTCACCTCCACCCCGCCCCCCCCAAGCCCACCCCCCACCCCCGCACTCAGTCCCTTTCCCCAAGGAGACCAGGGAAGCTTGTTCGAACACCAGAGTCAGATCACAAAGAGTCAAGTCCTAAATCCTTACCAACACCCAGAGTCCCTGCACACACGCGCGCGCGCGCGCGCGCGCGCGCACACACACACACACACACACACACACACACCTCGCTGCTTGCTCTTTTCACTTGCTCCACTAACACACCGGTCTTCAGCCCTAGGGTGAACATCTCCCCTCCTCCAGGTGTTCTTTAAAGATCTTCCCTGGGGCCGGAGAGATGGATCAACAGTTAAGTATACTGACTGCTCCCACAGAGGACCTGGTTTGATTCCCTGCACCATACAGCTCACAACAATCTGTAACTCAAGTTCAGGGGATCCAACACCCGCCTCCAGTCTCCTTGGGCACCAAGCACATGCAGACAAAACACCCATACACATAAACTAGGAACTGGGCAGTGGTGGCGCACGCCTTTAATCTTAGCACTAGGAGGCAGAGGCAGGCGGATCTCTAAATTCAAGTTCCAGGACAGCCTGGGCTACACAAAGAAACCCTGTCTCAAAAAACAAAAACAAAAAAAGGATCCCTGACTACTCGGATAGTCCACATCCGGTCCTACTCTACTTGCTCCATATTTATCACTATAATGTAAAGATATACTTACACTCCCAGATGGTGATGGAGGCGGGAGTTTAAGCCCAGTTTGGGCAACACGGTGAAAGTCAAAATATGTACTTAATTCACAGATTTGTAGCAATCTCTTTGGCAGAAAGTCAAGTCCTCAGGGACAGGAAGAATGGTACCTAATGAGTGTTCAGTATGTGTTGGAAAACAAACAAAAAATCGATTCAGAAACCTGAAAATGAGGAATATACAAAAAGAGCCTGTTCTAACCGTTCATCGCTAGGATCTGAGACTTAGAGTCCATTCGATGCCCAGGCCCCCTAGTGAGGGACGATATTGCCCCCTGGCGTCCAGAATGGAAACTGCACCTTCGAGGCTGTTCCAACCGACCACTGAAAAAAATTCACAAGGAAATAATGTGCATTCTTCAAAACTGCTGTAGGTTCCGAGAGTGGCGGCGCACGCCTTTAATCCCAGCACTCGGGAGGCAGAAGCAGGCGGATCTCTTGTAAGTTCGAGGCCAGCCTGGTCTACAGAGTGAGTTCCAGGACAGCGAGAGTTACAGGGTGAGATCCTGTTTCAAACGAACCGTTCGGTTGATTTATAAAATGTAAAGACTTCTAAAACGGATGTGAGAACACACAACGCAACCTCCGGTTAAAAGGGGAGAAAAAGTAGTGCTCCAGGTGAGGATCGAACTCACAACCTCGGCATTGCTCCGCCTGCACTGTCATATAAGTACCGCGCGCTAACCGATTGCGCCACTGGAGCTCCGGCCGCACCCTCGCGCCACTAAGTCCTTCAGTCAGTCGCAGTCGCGCGACTTTGCCGGACAGCCCCGCCCAACATCGCCTATGCAAATGCCAAGCCCTCCGATCGGCCAGTAAGCACGAGCGCGTGAAACTATTCGGGATTCTCACGCCGCGCCGGCCCACGCTGCAAAAGGCAAAAGTCCTCCCGGCGCCCGGAATGTGGGCGGGGACCTGCCGCTGGGCCCGCCTGCTCGCGAATACTCGGAGTAGGGGGCGGGGGCTTTAACCCTTTGCGGGAGGGCGTGCCGGAAGGCGGCCCCTCCCCCCAGCGGGCGGGAACAGGATGTGAGCCCGAGCGGCGGCCAGGGGGAGGGGAAGCCTCGGGCGGCCGCCCCCCGCCCCACATCTGGGACCTGGTTCTCCCCGCCCCAGATGCGGCGCCGCCGCCGCCGCCGCCGCCCCCAGAGCCCCGGGGCACCCATCCCGGAGCCCGAGGCGTTCCGAGTGTCGGACCCGGGCGTCCGGGATCTCCGTCCCGCGTCTTAAGAGACCCGCAAGTCCAGGCTCCCGCGCCCGGCCGGGACCGCTGATGCCCAGCGCCCCCTCTTGGAGGAAGCCGCGGGCCCGGGACATCAGCTCCAAAGCTGGAGGCCCGTCCCTGCACCCGGCTTCGAAGACGGCAGGATCCGTGGCCGCGCACCCCACCCCCCACCCCCGGGGTTCTAACTCTTGGGTCCAAGACCCCCTCCTGGAGCCACTTGGGGACCGGACCTCGCTCCTCGACTTAGGGTTGCAGCATCCATCACTTCCAAGAGACCGAGGAGTTTGCGAGTCCTTGCGCTCCCTCCCGGAGGTGACTTCATCCCTGCCCCTAGGGTTCTGGAAACTCTGGAATCCCGGTCCCCCCGACCACACACAGCCCTACCTAGAAGACTCAGGAATTTGGGTCCCCAGCGCACCCGTCTGAGACTCGAGTGGAGGGTTGCAGCATCTTCCACTTAGAACACCGAGACTTCGGACTCTGGATCCCAACTCTCCCCGGATTCTGGAGTCTGAGAGCCCCAAGTTCACGACCCTGAGTCCGGGCTGTGAGCCTCCCCGGGGACCGCGCGTTACGGTCCAGACGCGCCGGACTCCCGACCCTGGGGCCCGCAGCTCCCCGGGAGGTGAGGGGAGGCGAGGGGCCCGGGGCTGGGGGAGGGGGGCGGCGCCGAGGCGGAACAATGAGGGGGCGTGCCGGCGGGGGGTAGCGGAGGCGCCGGCGGGAGTCGGGGGCTGGGACCGCACTGGGGACGCTCGGACGGTGGGGGACCGCGGTCGGGGTGCCGAGGGGCCGGCTGGAGCTGGGTGGAGGGCCCGGGGCCAGCGCCCAGCGCGCAGTCCTGGGCGGGGTAGGGAGCCGTCTGCAGGACCCTGGCATCCGGTCCCCCAGCCTCCGCCCTCCCCTGGGACCCCGCGGCCTCTCCCGCCCACGGTTTTTCCCAGCCCTGCCCCTCGCCCTCAGCTTCAGCCTGAGCCTGAGAGTTCCCAGGATCCCTGAGCCCGGGGGAGGGGGGCCGCCCAGACAGATGGGACTGCAGACTCGGGCACTTTTGCTGTCTTCGCTCTTTGTCTCAACCTTTCCGTCTTTAGCGTGTCTCCTCGGCTCCTTCTCTCTGTTACTTTGTATCTCTTCTAGTAGTCCCTCCGTGGGGCCCCTCCTTGAGTTTTGTATCGACTTTCAGCACCCTGTCTGTGAGTTGGAGCGGCAGTGAAGCCACTCAAGTCCAGTTCCCAAGAACTGGGTGTCTTTGCAGGTCCGAGTTGTGCCACTCAGCCATGCCCGAGGGAGCTCGGGGACTCAGCCTGTCCAAACCCAGCCTTAGGCTGGGGTGTGGCCACCAAGGTGAAGCTTGCGACTGCGCAGCTGGGAGTGATACTCCGACAGGTGAGAAGTCCAGACAGGTGGAACCTGTGGGCGTTTGTCCCTTCCTTCAGGACACTGAGCATCCCTTTGTGGCTGAACCAGTGCTGAGCAGCGCTGCCAACACCGTGGCCAAGACGGTGCAGCGCAGCCCTGTCGCCACGGAGGAGACCGACGATAAGCCGGGAATTCAGGAGAAAGGAGTTGGACACAAAAAAGTGTTCTTCTGCATGCAGGGAACAGTATGTGCAAAGGCCCACAGCTGCACCTTTAAGTAATTGGACAAAGTTGAGTGTGAAGTGGGGGGGGGGCAGTTAACTGTTGTGCCGAGGAAAGGGAACTGGGTGAAGGGACCCGCCATGGCTGCATTGGACCGGGCCCTATGGATCTGAGGAATTTGAACTTGAACTAAAAGGGCTATGCTTGTGGGAGTGACAAGGCCAGTTGGACAGACTCATAATGATAGCTGTGGTTCATGGAGAAGGTGAATTAAAGCAATGGAGGCCCAAGGCTCAGAGGGGAAGGACTCTAATAGGTACAGGACCGAACTGGACAGATTAGGGTAGTGGAGCAGAGACCTGCGGGAACTGCCAGCTGAGTGAGAGAGAGTATGGGGTCATAGGAACGTGTGTCTGGGAAGCCCTGACCACTTGCTCCCTACCTTAGCAGCCCCTCCAGCCCCCGCCATGGCTTCCCCGAGGGGTTCCGGCAGCTCCACCTCTCTGAGTACTGTGGGCTCTGAGGGGGACCCATCACCAGCCTGCTCAGCGTCCAGGCCAGAGCCCCTGCCAGAACCCCCCATACGGCTGCACCTGTCGCCTGTGGGAATCCAGGGTCCGGTGAAACCCTCAAGGCTGGAGCGAGTGGCCAAGGAGATCGTGGAGACGGAGCGGGCGTATGTCCGGGACCTGCGCAGTATTGTGGAGGTGAGGTGGACAGGCATCTGAAGACATTGGGGACCCAGGCCAGGCCCTTGGCCTGTGTAACCCCTCTCATCCCCACAGGACTACCTGGGTCCTCTGATGGACGGCAGGGCCCTGGGGCTGAGCCCGGAGCAGGTGGGCACGCTGTTTGCCAACATCGAGGACATCCATGAGTTTAGCAGGTCAGGGACAGGGGTGGGGACCCCAAGGGGACGGCTGCTGTGGCGGGGAGGGTCTGTGTCTGTCTACACTAACTAACCTGAGTGCCTCATGGTGGCCCTGTGTAGGTTGGCGTGTGAGGTGTGGGGACAGTGAGGACTCAAAGCGGGAAAGAACTGAATCTTAGACCTGAGTCAAGCCTGGGCTCAAAGAATCCTGTGGGGCCTGGGCGCCTAGAACTTCCCCAGATTTAGCACTGAGATGCCCTGGGCCTGGGACACCTTCAGCTCTGGCCAAACCCTGGCTCGCCCTGGTGAAGGTGGGGGGCACTGGGACCCAAGAGTGACATCTCAGAATCACAAGAGAAGCTTTTGTAGTTGGTTTTATTATTTGAGACAGACAGGGTCTCATGTAACTAGGCTGGCTTGGAACTTGCTGTGTACCTGAGGGCAACATTAACTCCTTTCCCTGCCCCTACCTCCCAAGTGCCGGAATCACAGGCATGCACCACCACACCCAGCTAGTCTTGGTTTTTTTGAAATAGGGTCTCCTGGTGTGGTTCGAGCTGGCCTCGAAATTGAGATCTTCCTGCCTCAGCCTCCTGAGGGGTGAGATTACAGGTGTGCACACCATGCCTGGCTTGTAACAGAGTCCTTTCTTAAATTTAAGACCATCTATTTGGGAATTCCCAGCACCCTCTTTCCCAGTGTGGGGTCACCCCCTAGGTCATGATGTGCCAGCTGTGACGGTTATCAGGCTGGAGAATATGAAGCCGTGCAGAGACAATGAGAGGAGTAGGCTCTCCCATGTAGCCATCTAGGCTTCTTCCCGTCTGTCTGTGGAACTCCTGAGTCTTGTCATGGGACAAGGGGGCAGGCGGTCCTTTACTCTCCCCTCCCCCACAGTGAGCTCCTGGAGGACTTGGAAGGCAGCAGCAGTGCAGGGGGCATCGCCGAGTGCTTTGTGCAGAGGGTGAGTATGAGGTGGGGTCTGAGCACAGCTCAAGGCTGGGGAACAAGCGGGCTGGCCTGGACCTAGCTTCCTGGGGGGGCCGTGGAAAGCTAGGCGGTGCTGACTCCCGTGTCCCCGCAGAGCGAGGATTTTGACATCTACACATTGTACTGCATGAACTACCCAAGGTGAGGCAGAGGGAGTCCCTGCTTGGCCCCAGGCCATGCCCATGAGCCGATGTGCCAGCCACCACCCTCTACCTTCTAACCCTCCCAGAGCCCAGGTGCAACCCTGCCATACCTTGGTAGTCACCTGACCCGACCTCCCTCACTGCCCTGACCTGATCACCCCTGCACCCTGGCCGCCAGCTAACCCCTCCCAGTCCAGCCTGCTGGAGCGCCAGCCACCACTGATCTGTGCTGTGCCTCCAGCTCCCTGGCCCTGCTCCGAGAGCTCTCGCTGTCCCCACCAGCCACTCTGTGGCTGCAGGAACGTCAGGCCCAGCTCCGGCACTCCCTGCCTCTGGAGAGCTTCTTGCTGAAGCCTGTTCAGCGCATCCTGAAGTACCATCTCCTGCTGCAGGTCAGCTGTGGCCCCTGGGCTGGCTCGTCGGGAGGGGCATGGTTGGGTCCCACGCCACCCCGAGTTCCCTGGACAGTGCGGTCTGCCCTGCCCCTTTCTTCCATGTTGCTCTGTCTCTTGTCACTCAGTTTTCCTTCTCTTTTTCTCCCTCACCCTGTGCACCCTGCTGGATGACGGTCAGGAACTGGGCAAACACTGGGCAGAGGGCCCAGACGCCGGAGGGCGAGAGGTGGTAGAGGAAGCTATTGTGTCCATGACTGCAGTGGCCTGGTACATCAATGACATGAAGCGCAAGCAAGAGCATGCCGCTCGCCTGCAGGTGGCCCCGGGGTGGGCTGGGCTGGCTAGATGGGGACTCGGGCCGGGGGGATAGGGCTCAGCAGCAGCGTCCTGTCACTAACGTCTCTGTTTTGGCCTGTGTGTGACACCAACCGGGCCTGTCTCTGCCTGGTGTGGTCCCTGGCAGGAAGTGCAGCGGCGGCTGGGTGGCTGGACTGGCCCAGAGCTCAGTGCCTTTGGAGAGCTGGTGCTGGAAGGCACCTTCCGTGGGGGCGGCGGGGGAGGCCCACGGCTGAGAGGGGGTGAGCGCCTGCTCTTCCTGTTCTCCCGGATGCTGCTTGTGGCCAAACGTCGGGGGCCTGAATACACCTACAAGGGCCACATCTTTGTAAGTATGGGGTAGGGTCTGGGCCGGATAGTTACAACTGAAAAACCTTCAATATAGCATCACCGGAATACCCAGAGGGTGCTCTAGGGGACAGGACAGCCTGGCTTCCAAGGACCGTATTTAGCTGGGCCCAGTGACGTTAGACCCGTGATTCCAGTTACTGAGAAGGCTGGGACAGGAAGATCAAAAGTTCAGGGCTAGCCTGGGCTGCAGAGAAGGCTCAAGGCCAATCTGGGCAACTTGATGACACTCTGAATCAGAAAGTAAAGCCTGGAAGCTGGGTGTGGTGGCTCACACCTGGAAACTGAGCACTCGGGACTGGAGCAAGGTCACAGCAAGTTTGAGGCCAGCCAGGCCTATTAAGTGGGCTCGAGGCCAGTGTAGGCTACATAGTGAGATCCTGTTTCAAAAACAGATCCCAGTGCAGGCACACCGATCTGTGTCTACTCGAGGCTAGCTAGGACTATGGAGTGAACAAGACCCTGTCCCAAAACAAAACACAACCCAAAAAGCAGCAGCGAACACGGGCAGGTAGCTACATGGCTCATGGCCCAGGGAATAAAGATACCATGGACCTCCAGTGTGGCACTTGGTGGTGTGTGCACTAAGCCCCCCCCCCCCCCATGCACACATACACCAGTAAATGTAAAATAAATGAAAATGGAAGGGTTGGAGATATAGCTCTTATAAAGGATCCAGACCTGATCCCAGCATTTACATTGGGCTACTCAAAACCACCAGAACTCCAGCTACAGAGGATCCAAAACCTCTGGCTTCCAGGGGCACGTGAACTCACATGCACATAGCACAGTCCTCAGACATATAATTTGTCTGTGTGTGAGACATGGTCTCACATCTCACTAAGTAGCTGTGGGTGGCCTCAAACTCACTGTGTGAACCAGGCTGGCCTTGAACTCACAGAAACTTGCCTGCCTCTGCCTCCCGAGTGCCGGGATTCACAGCGAAAGGATTTTTAGTTTGAAAGAAAGCAAAAGCAGGGAGTCCGGCCTCCAGAACGAAGAAGGGCAGGTTGAGCCATGTGGCTGGCAATGGCCCACATTTTATTGTGTGTGTGTGTGTGTGTGTGTGTGAGAGAGAGAGAGAGAGAGAGAGTCAGAGTCAGAGTCTAGAGGGCATGGAGGGTGTCTTACGGGTGTCAGGAAGATGAGGAAGAACGAGTACATGTTCAGGAAGGTAAGGAGGAGTCTGGTAAGGGAGTGGGCCGAGCCTGGCCTGGTGGGGTCAGGCAAAACAGCCCGTGAGGAGCTGCTTTCTAGGAGGTCAGAACCCCGTATTTTTTGAAGGACGTCTAGTGCCAGGAGGGTCTCGGCACCCACCTTCTCTGTTCTCCCCTCAGTGCTGTAACCTGAGTGTCAGCGAGACTCCTCGAGACCCCTTAGGGTTTAAGGTGTCGGATCTGACCATCCCCAAGCACAGACACCTGTTCCAGGTACGCAGAAGCTGGGTTGGGCGATCCCACCCCTGCCTTGCCGCAGCTCAGAACCCAGACCCCTGACCTCCACCAACCTTACCGCCAGGCCAAGAACCAGGAAGAGAAACGGCTCTGGATTCACTGTCTCCAGCGCCTTTTCTTTGAGAACCATCCAGCTTCCATCCCTGCCAAGGTATGGACCTGCCACAACAAGTGGCCTGGAACCATGGCAGTCTCCATGGCAGACCCGAGTAATGGGGGTGGGGCACTCTTGCTACTTTGATGGCTAGACCTGCAGAATAGGCTTCCTGGCTTTGGGATGCAGCACATCCTTGCGTTGTGATCTTGGGCAATAAGATCCCTGGCCTTGGATTTCCTCACCTGGAGGAATAGTGCCTACATTGTAGGTCAGTGGTGAGGATTACCTTATCAGCCTGGCATTAAAAGCAATCATTCATTCCTGGGAATGGTTGGTGCTCACAGTCTGCTGTCCGAACCCCATCCTTCCAACATCTGTCTTCCTATCTTTCAGGCAAAGCAAGTTCTTTTGGAAAACAGCCTGCACTGTGAGTCCAGGGGTCTGGGCTGTGGTCCTGTGCCGAAAGAGGCCATGTTTCCAAGAAAGTAGACAGTTAGTCCCTCAACTCTCCCTCACAGGTACTCCAAAAAGCAAAACATTCCCAGAGCCCCCCACATCCCCACTGGATTCTCCCCGCCCTCGAGACGCTCGAAGTTTCACCCCTGGAAGAAGAAACCCAGGTAACAGATAGAATATGGGTTCGAGGCCTTAGGCACTCCCCCAAGGCTGAAGGGCTGGGCTCACACATCTCTCCAACAGCTCCATCTCCAAGACTCTCTGGCAGTCGCCGTGGCCGCAGGCAGTCTGGTGAGTATTCACCACTTCAGGGGGACCCAAGGATCCAATGGCCTGGCCTCCTGATACCCTGTGTCCTTCCCACAGAGCCAGCAAAGGAATCTTACGTCATTTTTCCCCAGAACGGTTAGTGACTGGTCCTTGTCGTGTCAGTCCGTCCTTGTCTCTTTCCAGGGATGCCGGGAGGTGAGGGTGGGGACATGGAGAGGGAGAAGGGGCAGCTGGTTGGTTACAGGGAATAATTTCTCCTGTGTCTCACTCTTTTCTGTTCTCTTTCACTTTTCCATCCTCAGAGAAACCTCAAGTCAAGGTGAGAAATGAGAAATGCCCTGGGTCAGAGACTGGGGACCTGAATTCCCAGCTCAAGTGGAGAAGAAAATTTAAATTCCATAATCCTGGGTCAGAATAAGCACGTATTAAATGCCCGGGGATATAGCTAAATTGGTTCTGTGCTTACCCAGCATGCTCTAGGTTTGAGCCTTTCCGCAGCACATAAAACTTGATGTGATAGCACAAGCCTGAAATCTCAGCACAGGGGAGATGGAGGCAGGAGGGTCAGGAGTTCAAGGTCATCCTTCACTACCACCAAGTTCCAGTCTAGCCTGGACTATGTGAGAGAGTCGGGGCATTAGGCCAGGTGTCCTGGCAGATGGTTTCAGTTCAAACTGAAGTAAGAGGATCAAAAGTTTGAAGGAGCACGACCGGTTATCTGTCCGCACGCCTTTAAACCCAGCTGGGAGGCAGAAGCAGGCAGATCTCTGAGTTCAAGGGCAGCCTGGTCTACATACTGAATCTTAGACCAGCTCAGGCTACATAGTGAGACCCTCTCTCTCGAAAAAGTGGGGGGTGGTTTGGGGAGAATAACACACAGTGGTTGAGTGTCCGGTATAATGAGTCCCTGGGTTCCAGCCTCTACACCTCATTTTAAAAATGGGGTGGTGGTGAAGCCAAGCTGCCTGTGGTAGGAAGGTCAGGAGGATTGGAAATTCAAGGCCAGCCTGGGCTATATAAGGCCCTTTCCAGAAAAAGAATAAGAAGGTGGGGGTGGGGGTCCTTGACTTCCCCTATGTGCAAGAGGAGGGACTGGGAATTGAGGGGACAGAGCCCTCCTGGCTCTGGCTTCCCACCCCTCCCCTCCTCACAGCATGCTGGCAGTGACGGGGAGCTCCATCCCCCATCTGAGTCACAGCCACCAGTCTCTGCTTCTGGCCCCCCGGAAGACCTGGAGGATGCTGGGCCTCCCACATTGGATCCATCAGGGACCTCCATCACTGAGGAAATTCTAGAACTGCTTCACCAGAGAGGCCTCAGGGATCCAGGGGTGAGCTACAACTGCCATCATAGCAGCCTTGGCGCACTGGCCTTGGGCAGGCAGAGAGCACAGTCCAGGTCAGCCCACCACCCCACCCCCCTGACATCTTCTTGCCTTTCTTTGTGTACCCACTACAGCCAGCCACCCACGACATTCCCAGGTTCCCCAGAGACTCCAGGGTGCCAGTTGAAAGCGAACCCCTCCCTTTCCAAGCCTTGCCCAGCCGAGAGTCTTCAGAAGAGGAGGAGGATGAACAGTTAGAGGCAGATGAACGGGAGCCTTCCCCACTCCACGTCTTAGAGGGGCTGGAAGGTTCCAGTCCAGCCGAAATTCCCTGCATGCCCAGCCTTACCAAGATTCCCAGCGACATGCCCAGCCTTCCAGAAATTCCCGAGGCTCCCTGCCTTCCGAGTCTCTCTGACATCCCTAGTGTTTTTGAGATGCCATGCCTTTCACCCATGTCCAGTGTGCCTGACATTCCCAGCTTGACCAGCACCCCTTCCTTCCCCTGTGGCTCCTGGCTCCCTGGACCCCTGCAGGAGCCCGCCCTGCCTCTAGCCACCAGGAGGGAACTGTTGACTGGAAGCAGTCCTGGAAGACTGGGCGAGCCACCCTCAGAAAGCGGAGTGGGGCAGGAGGAAGATGCAGAAGGTGTGTCCTTCCCAGCTGTGCAGACCCAGGATGGCACCCGAGTCCAAGGGTTCCCGGAGGAACTGGAATACCGCTCTTGTTCAGAAATCCGGAGCGCCTGGCAAGCGCTGGAGCAGGGGCAGCTCTCCCGGCCTGGCTTTCCTGAACCGCTGCTGATCCTGGAGGACTCTGATCTTAGTGGAGGCAGCACCAGCGGGAAGGCAGGAATGCCACGCTCCGAGCGGTCAGCGTCCCGGGTGCGAGAACTGGCTCGGCTCTACAGCGAGCGGATTCAGCAGATGCAGCGAGCTGAGACAAGGGCATCCACCAATGCACCCCGCCGCCGACCTCGAGTCCTGGCCCAACCCCAGCCGTCCCCCTGCCCACCACAGGAGGAGGCTGAGCCAGGTGACAAACTTTTTTTTTCTCCTGCAATGCTAGGGCCTGGGGCCTCTACCACTGAGCCACACCCCCAGCCCCTCACTGGGGGATTCTAGGCAGGGGCTCTACCACTGAGCCACACCCCAGCCCCTCACTGGGGGATTCTAGGCAGGGGCTCTACTGCTGAGCTACACCCCAGCCCCTCACTGGGGGATTCTAGGCAGACGCTCTACCACTGAGCCACACCCCCAGCCCCTCACTGGGGGATTCTAGGCAGGGGCTCTACTGCTGAGCTGCATCCTTAGCCCCTCACTGGGGGATTCTAGGCAGGAGCTCTACAACTGAGCCCAGCACCCAGCCCCTCACTGGGGGATTCTAGGCAGGGGCTCTACTGCTGAGCTGCATCCTTAGCCCCTGATCCTCTTTCCTTTGTATACAGGACCCCTGCCTGCTTTTGGACATGTGCTTGTATGTGAGCTGGCCTTCCCACTAAACTGTGCCCAGGAGTCTGTCCCTCTGGGCCCTGCTGCTCTGGTTCAAGCTGCCACACCTTTGTCTAAGCAAGGAGATCACCTGAATGGCCACAGTCTAAATGTTTCAGATTTGCCCAAGCAAGACCACCTAGGCAGCTGCATTCCGCCTATCCCTTTACCTGGACAGAGCGACTCTGAGATCATCCAAGGTCCATCCACATCACCTTTGCCCAAGCAAGAAGAACCTCCGGATGTCCAGGTACCAGCTGCCTCCACTCTGCCTGATCAAAGTCACATTCCAGCTACCACTCCTTCACCTGAGCATAGAAACTACATGGAAATCCAGGTGCCATCCACCACCACCTGCCTCCCGGGGCAAGAGCGTCACACAGACCTCCAAATGCAAAACACTGTGGCGTTGCCTAAACAGGGAGCAGGTGCTAGCGTCATGATCTTAGCCGGCCCTCTTTTGCCCAAACACGACGGTCACGAAGATTGCCAAAGCCCAGATAGTGCCCTCGGAAGTGAGCAGAGAGATGTCAGCATTGATCGGGGCCCAGCTGCTGTTGGTGGTCGAGCTGTCAGCCCTTCACCAATGTGCACAAGCAACCCTGACCATCCGATCCCAGCCACCACCTCACAGCCTTTGTCACCTGACCTCCAAGACCCCGAGGGTCCTGATGCTTTCCCTCTCCCTGCACGGGGAGGTCATCCGGACTGCTGCATCCCACGCAGCCCTCTACCATCTTTGTCCCAAGACACTCAGATGCCAACTGCCATACCCGTGTCCCAGCCACAAGTCCTTACAGACATCAGGGCTGAAGCTCCCCCATCGTTCCCCAAGCAGGAAGGAGCTCCAGAGTCTCTGGGTCCAGAGCCCAGCCTCACAGACATACCAGCTCCCAGACTCTTACCTTCACTGGGCCAGCAGAATCCCACAGATGGCCATGTGTCAGCGGCCACACCCTTCACTGAACAAGGATGCTCTCCGGACCTTCAAGGCCTCCTAACCACCCCGATTCAGACCACCATGGAGTTACCTAAACCAAGAGACCATCTGGTCTCTCCTGTTGCCAAGTCGGAGTCTTCAGACTCCACTCCACTCCAGAGCCCCTCGCTGTCCACTCGCCAGCTCCTGGGCCCCAGTGCAGCTGCCCTCTCAAGGTACCTGGCAGCTTCATACATCAGTCAGAGCCTGGCTCGGCGTCAGGGCCCCGGGGGAGATGGCCTGGGAGCCTTCCAGGGTCATTGGTCCTCCTCTGCCCCTACATCAAGGGCGCCTTCCCCACCGCCTCAGCCCCAGCCCCCAGGCCCTCCAGCCAGGAGGCTCAGCTATGCCACCACGGTTAGCATCCAGGTAGGAGGTGGTGGACGGCTACGGCCAGCCAAAGCCCAGGTCCGGCTAAACCACCCTGCTCTCTTGGCAGCCCCCCACCCGGGAGCCTGTGGGCCTTCCCAAGGCCCAGGGGGCTCCTGATGCCCCTCACCATATGTAAGCCTAGAAATTAGGCTTCCTAAGCTTCAAGAACTTTCACCAGGTGCCACCCACCCTCATGACATCCAGAGTCAGGACACAGGTTTATTAATGGCTGCAGCCCTGGGATCTGTGTTCACAGATGGCCCTTCTGAGGTCATGGTTATTTTGTTAATTAACTTTATGAAATGCTGTGTGTTTTGCCATTCTTGAGGTAGTGGGAGATGGTAAGACATGATGAATGAGAAGGGCTGATGTGGCCCAAGTGTGAAAACTTAAGAACATTTGGAGTATCTCAGGGTGTGCATGTAACTCAGTTGGTAGAGTGCTTGCTTAGAATGTGCAAAGCCCTAAGTTCAATTCCCAGCACTACATAGAACTGGGTGTGATAGTGCATACCTGTAATCTGTGGAGAATGAAGATCAGATAGTTGTGGCCATCCTTGGCTATATAGCAAGTTCAAAGCCAGCCTGAGCTACATTAGACCTTGTCTCAAAAAAAGTAAAAAAATGGGGAACATCAAGATCTTTGGGGACCATTAGAAACTGTTAGAACCTGGGTTGAAGTTTTGAGGCGTTTAAAACTATTGATAATCCGTTCAAGAAAGCCAGTCTTACTCAAGCTGGGCATGCATGATGGTGCATACCTCTGGTCCCAGCTGCTTGGGAGTCTAAAATGAGGACCCCATTAGCCCAGGAGTTTGGGGGGCAACCTGGGCTACAAGGGCAAAAGCCCTCCTCTGAGCAGAACCCTTGAAATCGATTCCTTCAGCAGCCATCGGTTGCTTGGCCGTCTCTGCTACCCCAGCTGTTTCTTCCCATCTGCCCCGTGACACGTCCATTTTCCCATCCTCCTGTGATACGTCCATTTTCCCATCTGCCCCTGTGATACGTCCATTTTCCCATCTCTGCCCCTGTGATATATCCATTTCCCATCCTACCCTGTGACACGTCCATTTTCCCATCTTACCTGTGATATGTCCATTTTCCCATCCTCCTGTGATACGTCCATTTTCCCATCCTACCTGTGATATGTCCATTTTCCCATCCTACCTCTGATACATCCATTTTGCCATCCTACCCTGTGATATATCCATTTTCCCATCTTACCTGTGATATGTCCATTTTCCCATTTTACCTGTGATACGTCCATTTTCCCATCCTACCCTGTGATATATCCATTTTCCCATCTTACCTGTGATATATCCATTTTCCCATCTACCCCAGCTGTTACTTCCAATCTCTGCCCCTGTGATATATCCATTTTGCCATCCTACCCTGTGATATGTCCATTTTCCCATCTTACCTGTGATATGTCCATTTCCCCATCCTACCCCGTGATACATCCATTTTCCCATCTTACCCTGTGATATATCCATTTTCCCATCTACCCCAGCTGTTACTTCCAATCTCTGCCCCTGTGATATATCCATTTTCCCAACCTACCCTGTGATATATCCGTTTTCCCATCTTACCTGTGATATATCTGTTTTCCCATCCTACCCTGATGATATATCCATTTTCCCATCTTACCCTGTGATATATCCATTTTTCCATCTACCCCAGCTGTTACTTCTATCTCTGCCCCTGTGATCTATCCATTTTTCCATCTTACCCATCAACTTTTATCCTGTTCTCCTTCCACCCACCCAGTTTCATTCACCATCCTACCTGTGATTCTATTCCACTCTTCCATCTGAATACATCCCATATCTACCTCTCCATCTCCATCCACCATTTGCCTACCCAGCCTCCCATCTGTCTCTCTACCCATTGTTTAATCATCTATACACCTTGCCATCACCAGCTTCTTCTCTATCCATCAACCCATCCTCCGCCGTCTCTCCTTAATGGGGTTCTTCCAGGTATCATAAACCCCAGGACCTTTCCATGCTAATGCCAGGGCAGATTAAGTTGGGGTTATGGGAATTGGGATCTTTTGGTTTCCCTGGAAACACCTAGGCCCCTTTCCCCATGAATATCCTGATTACTATGTCTAACCCCCCTCCCCCAAACACACACCACATCCCTCCTCATTTGGGACCTCTGCAGTTCCTCAGCCTGCTCTTGCCTCCCACAGAATAATTCAAGTTGTAGGACAAAAAGGTTTCTATGTTTGCATCCTGCCCCCTCCCGCAGTGGTTTGCCGGGTAGCATAATTTAAACAGTTTGATGACAGATTGCCAGCTCCTTCCTTCACTGTCTATAATCCTCCCTGGAATTCTGAGGCACCCCTGTGTCACAGGCAGTAGTAAATTCAAGTCCCCTTTATTTGGTGTGTGACATTCCTCTCAGAGCTGTGGCTTTCCTGTCTCCTTGGAGTGGTCTTAGCATCCAGTGAGTATCCTGTCACTTCTCAAGTGCGTCTTAACCTGTGACTCACCGGGGAGTCATTCCCATCACACACACCTACAGAGCTCAGGAATCTGGTTGTTAGCCATTGGCTAGCAGCCAGAGGCTGTGCTTTATTACAGACTAGTGCTGGCTTTAAGGTTGTCATTCTGTGTGAGCTCATTCTGTTTTGACCCTCGGCATCCCTAAGAGGCTAATGAGGGTTTGGTTTGGTTTGGTTTTGCAGTCTGAGCACCAGACTCTTGGGGGCCTGGTATTCCAGAGCTTGGCCACTAAGCTACATCCCCAACACCATGAGGATGACTTCTGTTCTGTTTGCAGCCCTGGGCATTGGATTCAGGGCTTGTTAGGCAAGTGCTCCACCACTGAGCTGCATCTATCCCCAGCCCTTGTTTGTTGGTGGGTTTGTTTGAATTCTGTGTATGTGCACGTGAGTACAGGTGTCTTTGGAGTCCAGAAGAGGGCGTCAGAGTCCTCTGGAACTGGAGTTATGGGCTGGTAGTTAAAAGCCAACCAGCATGGGTGCTAAGAATTGAACTTGGGCCCTCTCCAAGAGCAGTATGCACTTTTAACCAGAGACATTTCTCCAGCTCTTCCTCCCCCCCCCTTACAAACAGCTCCTCCTTTTTAATCACAGAGATGAGGATCAGCCTGAGCTACAAAGTGAGACCCTATCTCAATCCAAAAATAGGAAGAGGGAACTGAGGCACAGAGAAGTGCTTTGCCTAGTCTCACTGCAAGGAAAAAGGCTGACCAGGGACAAATCCTCACAGCCTGAGTTGCCCATCTAGTGCCAAGAGCCACCAGGGTTACAAGAGGTGATTGTGAGTCAACCAGTCCAAGACCAGACTCAATAAAAGGAGCTGTTTGCTTCCTGAATGCCACTGTGCCCACAGGGCCTGGACTATGTATTGGGGGCTCCCGAGGAGCACAGCCCTGTGTTCCCCCCACCCTCACACACATATTCACCGTGACTGAGGCTTCCCCCAAGGTCAGAACTGAGGCTGGCCTTCCCCGCCTCTGCAGGATTGCACATTCTCAGCCACCCCCAGCTGTAGGAAAGTTCCCAGCCTGGCCCAGGCTCCCAGCGGCGCCGGAATTCCCGGTATTCAAGGAGGTAGGGAGGGAGAAAGGGTTGTCTGCTCCAGAGCCTGGCTCAAGGAGAAGCAGTTCCCCTCTCCAGATGTGTTCCAGCTGTGCCTCTTGGGAAAGAGCCATGAGCCTCAATAAAGTGGTCTCTGGTCCCCCTGGGAAAGCCATAGGTCCCAAGCTAACCTCAGCCCCTCCTCCTCTTGATGAGTTCCTTCCCTACCCTACTCCTATCTGCTTCACTGCTCCAGATTACCAGGGCCTCAGGAGGGTTCTTGCTTACCAGTCAGCCTGCTTACAGCTACAGACAGGCTCAAAGGGGATAGGATAGGGGGACAGTGGTCATGTGGCCAGTACCTTGAGTCCCAGCCGCTCCAGAGGCTGAGGCAGGAGGATCCCTGTGGCCAACCTTGGCAACACATCAAAAGCCCTTTGTAAAAACAAAGTGAACAAAATCCAGAAACGAATAAATCAAATCAGGATATGGACTTTGAGCCGGGCAGTGGTAGCACGAGCCTTTAATCCCAGCACTCATGGGCAGAGGCGGGTGGATCTCTGAGTTTGTGGCCAGCCTAGTCTACAGAGTTCCAGGACAGCCAGAGCTATGAAGAGAGACCCTGCCTCCCCCCCCCCCCCCCACACACACACACATACACATACCCAAAAAAGTGTAGCCTGCTGCCTTCCTCCAGTTCTCATTCCGTACAGCTTCCTGGTGTAGAACATGGTTTGTCACTAGGGACATTTTCTTGGGGGCACCCTCATCACCATCATTAGCCACCATGAGCATGTCAGCTAATAGAGTGTGGCATTCCATCTTGGTATTCACTGAGCTTCACTCCCCTCTGTGCCTGTCAGTGCTGCCCCATGGTACCTATGGGAATGTCCTATCTGCTGAGTGGTGTGGTGCACACCTTTGATCCCAGCACTAGAGGCAGGCAGATCTCTGAGACTCTGAGGCTACACATCTCAACAAAAACCTCTATGTGAGCAGTTCTCCTCTGCTGTGTGACCTGCAGGCTGTGGGAGTTTCCATCAATTGACATGCAAGGCCAGCACTCATCACTGGCTGCTGGCCATTCAACTACTTCTATAAGCCAATTCTTCCAGTTAACTGCATTTTGTCAAGTGGATTCTTGTTACCAAGGTCCCTGGATCACATCTCAGAGGTGTGTGAACAAGACCCCACAATTCCACCAGCAGGTCCTGACTTGACCCCCAAGAAACCCATTGGGCCCTCTGGGTTGGCTCGGGCTCCCCCCACAAGCAGACTGCTCCGTCCACAGAGGGCACAGATCGGATGTAAGGTAAGTTGGAGCCCTGTAACATGCTCTGCAGGCCCTTGAGCGAGCATTCCTGGCATTCTTCCTATCTCCCGCTACAAATTGAAGAGAGCACACCGCAGGACTGACATCTAGAGGCTCCGAACTCCTGGCCCCAGTTCTTTATTTTTAAGGCGCTTTGATTGGTGTTTGGCCTGCATGTATGTCTGTGTGTCACATCCCTTGGAACTGGAGTTAATAATTGTGAACTGCCACATGGCTGCTGGGAATTGAAGCAGGATCCTCTGGAAGAGCAGCCAGTGCTCTTTCCTACTGTACCATCTCTCCAGCCCCTGTAGGTTCTTTTTCCCCCCCAAGACAGCGTTTCTGTGTAGCTTTTTGTGGAGCCTGTCCTGGATCTCGCTCTGTAGCCCAGGCTGGCCTTGAACACAGATCTACCTGCCTCTGCCTCTGCCTCCCAAGTACTGGGAT